TCACCAAACAGTCTGCCAAACATCGGTCGACTGAGACTCATGACAAATAGTAGATACTTGAGCATCTTGCTTTCAGCTTGAGAGTCATCGTAGGTAAAGTACTCGCACTCCTAATAACAGTCAGTCCTTCTATCGTTACCAGAGCACTATTACTCTCTTCCAAATGTCGACATGGTTTGGGGTACAGTGAAGGTATACGTGTACATGTAATATTCGGAGTATCTTTCGTCATGAGTTCGTGTTTGTCACGGTGATAAAATAACGAGGCTGGAAACAAGAATGGAAAACAATGTAAGTGAAAACGGACTTATTCTCTGGAAATACTACGTGTTTCATCATTATTTACCGCCCATTCCTAACTCAAACAATAAGTAACAAGTCTTGCATTGAACTGTCCACGACACAGTGAAACCTCTCTGGCAGCCCTTTCTAGGCCTTAACACAACCGGTAGAAGCATGTTTATCCTGACACAAGAAGCATATGGGTCGTGTCAGGTTGATGATTTCTGACCAGAATCTTGATTCTGCCTACAAAACATCGTAATTAGTTCCCATAATTTCCAAAATCGTCCTAGCTAATAACACTTGAAAACAAACAAACATGAAGCTCTCCTTTGTCGCAATCGTATTCTACTTCCTTTCTGGTGCCGATGCTGCTAGCCTACGTGGTATCCGAAACCTATCGTCTGTCTCTGTTGGTTCCTCTGTCTCTGTTGGATCTGAATCGGCCTCTGCATCCAACAGCAGCTCTCGCCGCAAGTTGTCTTCTGCCTCTGTTGTTTCTGACTCGGCCTCTGCTGTCTCGGTTGGCTCTGACTCGGTGTCTTCTGTCTCGGTTGGCTCTGAATCGGCCTCTGCATCCAACAGCAGCTCTCGCCGCAAGTTGTCTTCTGCCTCTGTTGCTTCTGACTCGGCCCCTTCGGTCTCGGTTGGCTCTGACTCGGTGTCTTCTGTCTCGGTTGGCTCTGAATCGGCCTCTGCATCCAACAGCAGCTCTCGCCGCAAGTTGTCTTCTGCCTCTGTTGTTTCTGACTCGGCCTCTTCTGTCTCGGTTGGCTCTGACTCGGTGTCTTCTGTCTCGGTTGGCTCTGACTCGGCCTCTGCATCCAACAGCAGCTCTCGCCGCAAGTTGTCTTCTGCCTCTGTTGTTTCTGACTCGGCCTCTTCTGTCTCGGTTGGCTCAGACTCGGTGTCTTCTGTC